TGACAATGACGGTATCTTCTAGTTGTCCATTTGCGGGTAGAATTGAGTTGATCGCTTGTTGTTCCAAAATTCCGGCTCCTTGAAGAATTTCATGTAGAGGTGCGTTCTGCATGTTGAAAATGTAGCTTGAAATCTGATGAATGTTGAAATGTCGGACTTTGTTGACGGTGATTTGAAATCGAAATCAGTTCCTTAAATGCTTTTTTGGAAATTCGAATATTTGGAAATTGGAATTTTGAACGAATCAAAAAGAACGAATCTTTTTAGTTAACGAACGAGCGCTAAATTCAAAATTTCATTAAAAAATTTCCCTTAAAAAAAAGCAGTGGAATTAGAATCGTACTTTTTCAAAAGAAAATTTAGTAAAAATATTAAAGTTATCCTTATTTTTTCCTTTTATATTTGTTTTACCTTAATTTTGTGATTTAAAAATAATCGTGTGGTCATCAAACTTTATTAGTTCGCCATATTGGCTATAGATGGCAACACGTTACCGCTTGAAACTTATTAGGCAATAGACAAAGAAAATTTAAGTGCTGCCATCTATAGCCATTATGGCGAACTAATAAAGTTTGAAAATATCCTATCTGTAACTCCGAACTGCTCGACCGTAGCGCTTCAAAACCGGCGCTAATCGATTCCTCGTGGCCAAAAACCCCAGACCCCCAAGTTTACCGGAGTTTATTAATTCTGGGGCGATTTTCGACTTGGCAACCATTCCTCGTATTATAGTATAAGATATAAATTTACAAATATATAAATTTACAAATATATAAATTTACAAATATATAAATTTACAAATATATAAATTTACAAATTTATAAATTTACAAATTTATAAATTTACAAATTTATAAATTTACAAATTTACAGGATATAAATTTACAAATTTGTAAAACGTTTTACTGTATTTTTAATAAATGAAAAAAAAATACAAATGTGGATTGAACAAATTAATGAAGGAGAAATTATATAGAAGGTTTACAACAAAAATATCATAAAGCAAATCATGCCAATAAGTGATCCAAGCTTTTTTTATTTTCTTTTTAATCACATGTACGTATTGTTAAAGTTTTCACATGATATTAATTTAACCTCGCCCGAATCTAGTTCGGACAACTACTACGTTCAGTATTTGTGATGCCTGAACTGAATTCGGGCTGGTGAAAAATTAACGTTCCTATTTTGTGAAGCCCGAGATCAGTTCGTTTTTTCTTTAGGGTACTTAATTCACTATTTTCTTAATCGATGGAATTAGTGGTCTTAGTTTTTCACCAATTACGACTTCAGTCGAGGGAGGGAAATGTGGATGGGAGTTTTGGGATGTATCATCCATACTGTAAAAGATTTGTAAAATTTTTGTATTGAAAATCATATTGTTGTGTTTTTATATTATATTATACTAGTTATATAATATTTGGCTTCAGAATTTTGTTTAATTTGCTCTAATTGAATAGGATGTGTGTGTAATCCATTACTTTTTTTTGAATTTAAAAATTATAAATAAAGTAGTTATTGCATTTAAAATTTTATTTTCGTAATAAAAAACATATTCTAACTTTCATAAAGAACAAAATTCAACAGTCAAAAAAATTTTCCATTTTTCGTCCATTTTTCTGAAATATATGTCACTCTTAAGGGGTTAAAGCACGTTACGTGTTTTTCATGATTAAATAATATATAATTATTGTCTTAGTCAGCGACATAATTATAAATAAGAATGCTGATGCAGGAAAAGAATTTCGTAACGTCTCAGCAAAAGTAACTTAAAAAGAAAACCAATCCAACCCATTGGACAACAAAAGAACAAATATCAATTGATGCAATTTATGCAACCTTCGCACTCGAAATTTTAAGGCCTTTAAAAAATCTATTCAGCTGCCACATTCCATTATATAAAAGATTATATAAAAAAAGAACGTTTGACCGATGGGAAATCTGTTATCATAATGCTATTATATTTATTTTTTGTTTTTATTTAATTTGGTTACTTATTTTTTGTTAAAAATTTGTGTAACAGACTACATTAACTAAATACATGAAATAAATATACATTTTATATGATCTTGAAATAATTGTCAATAAAATTCTTACGATTTAGTTCTTTTTTTTTTTTTTTTTTTGATTGACAGGTACTGAATTTATTGTTCTTCGCCTTGGAAGAAGCCGGAGGTGTTGCTCATTTTGCATTGCCTGGTGAGCACATTGTGACCAAAGTCACGGAAGCGAGCAACATTACCTACGCCATACTGCCCTACATACATGTTCACTGGCATAACCATCTCTTCTAAATGTTTTTGTCAAAAGCTGGACCACATTCACACATCGTACACAATAGAGGAAAACGCACAGAGAGAAACAAACATGCCCTGAGCGGAATTCGAAGGTCGGCGCTTAGTATTTAGTAAAAAATTTCGAATGGAATTTACTAAATATAATTTAGAACAAGAATTGTTTTTGTCAAATTTGAACAAAAAAAATAATAAATTAAGATTAAAAAGAAAACGTAACTACTCCCTGAGTTGTTTAAAACATACTATTTTACTGTTCTACACTTGAGTTATGAAAGTGAAATTAAAAATCCTTTAGGACCAATTTCTTTATAGTCAAATTCACTTCATTCCGAGAGCCACAATAAATAATTCTGCATTTAACAGTTTTTAACGCGTTTCGAAACATTTGTCTATTTTAAATTTATTTGCTTGATTGATAATTTTTATCTTATATATTTTATTTGATTAAAAAAAATACTTACCTTTAATCCAAGTAATTTAAATATTTCAAAGGTCTTTTAAGATAAAATAACCACGCGTGTAAGATCGAGTGCTTATTCAAAAGAATAATTTTTCATTGCGATCAGCGATTATTTAAAAATGTAAATAAAACTAATCTTTTATATTGTGATAAGCCATCCTCTTGGAGAGTGATTATCACATTAATCCTGGGACCTTAAGATATTGCTTGACACATTCAAGAGAAAAGTCTTGAGAAATTGTGTCCTCTAAAACAGATGCTACTTCCCAAAGTTCAGATGTTAATCGGATTACAAATAGTATTTAAACAGGGACTTTTCAGAATTTGCATGTTAGAATCTGTAGCATGGTTTCATACACAATTCAATTGTCCACAATGCAAGTCTTTTGCTTCCTAGTCATTTTAACCACTGCTTTTGCTCTTCCGTTCCCAGAAGAACCTAGCAATGCTGATGTTGAAAGGTATTATAATGCGAGAAAAGGTAAGTTTTGTTTCAGTATAAAAATTTCTCTTAAGCATTAATGTAATCAATAAATTATTAATGTGAGCAACTCACTTAAGGTAATTATCGGTGATCATTTTATTTCAGAAAGAGCTCGAAATGCGTATTTAAGAAAATGGACACAGCTTAAAAGGCGAGTTTTAAAAATTAGGCTAAGCTTGAAATGCTTGTTTAAGAAAATACATAAAGCTCTAAAATGCTAAAGAAATGTACCGTGCTCACAATAAGAAACGGACCACCCTGATTAACTTTGGATCTAATTACCAGATCTTTGCGTTCCGGGACACATTCTTAATGGTTCTAAGGGGTGACCTCAAATATGCTAATTAATTAGCACAGACTATATTTTAAGCGACGAAATCAGACACAAAAACGGACTTTCCCCCAAACTCCATTCTGACCCCCAAAATATAGGGGTAGTCGCATTCTGGAAAATATGGTTCCAATAGTTTAGTCTGGAGAGCGATGCAAAGTTTGGACCCCTTAATGTTAATTTTGCTTTTTCGTATTTCTCTATATCTCGAGAACTTCTTAAGTGAATTGAAAGTTTCATGCTAACAATTATAAAATTCTTTTATCGAAAGCGTTAACATGCAAAAAATAGTTTTTAGTAAATATTTACCATTTTTTAATTTTGAATTGTAAAGTACATAATTTTTTGCATAGTTCTAAAGAATATAATTTTACAATTCAAGATACAAAATTGGAGTGAAATCGGTCTAATAGTTCCTGAGAAGTAGAGTTTAAAAAAAGTCGTATTTTGAAAATTCGACTTCTCAGGAACAATTTTGCCAATTTCATTCCAATTTTGTATTTTGCTGTGAAAAATTGTTTTTCTTTAAAATGATATAAAAATTGTATACCTTACAATTAAAAAAATCAAGCAATATTTTACCGCTTGCGTTTTTTGGGACTATTTGAATGGGAATTATTTTTTTTGCTGCTTGTGGGTAACTATTAAAAACAGAAAAAAGCTGTATTTATCTTTTAACAGTTTTTATGCAAAAAATAAACTTTTTTTTTGTAGTATCTAGTAATTTTTTTAGTGTAGCAATTATTGGCTTCAGGTAATTAAACGAATGAGATTTAATCTACTGATTAACATTTTCAGCCAGTTCTAACTAAATGAAGATTAACTATGATTAGTGATAGTGACTAACATTAATGTAGTGATTAGTATGGTAAAAAAGGATTTTTTTTATAACAGAGTGAATGGAAAGAAATATTTATATGTATAATAGAGCAATAATTTCTAACGAGATGTTATTACGCATTATTAGTTTATCTATTAATCATCGGCATCAAACTATTGATAGGATTGGCATTTAATGCATAGATCGGATTTAAGCTATTGCTTGTGGCATTTACTTTCAATCAGTTCTAACTGAAAGAATATTAACTAGGATTAGTGCTTAACATTACTATTGTGAAAACAATATTTTCTTATAATTCTAATATAACAGAGTGAATGGGAAGAAATATTTATAAGTATAACTGAGCAATAATTTCTGAAACAATGTTATTACACATCGGTTTCAATCAATTGTTTGGATTAGCATTTAACGTACAGATCGGATTTGACCTATTGCCTTTTCATATAACCTAATGATAAGTATTTTCAGTCTATTCTAACTGAAAGAAGATTAACTAAGATTAGTGATTAACCTTATTATAGTAAAAAAAAAAATTGTTTTTTAAATAAATCTGACATAACAGAGTGAGTGTAAAGAAATATTTATCGGTATAATAAAGCTATAATTACAATATTGAAAATAAACTTTCACTTTTCCTTTTTTTAAATTTTATATTTTTTACTTCCAATAGAAGCCATGAAAAATCCAGATGTATTTGATGGAGATATGCTTGGAATTGATAGAATGCTCGTAAGTAGACTTCGATAGTGTTATTCTAGTTCTTTATTTTTCTATTTTTAATGAGTCCAAATAACTTTTTTTTCAGTTCTCACCATAAAATTAAAAAAAAAAAAATTATTTAAAACCTTGAAGAAAATAATAACCTTTTTTTTCCTTATCGATTAAAAATATCAAAAACTTTTTCTCGTTTATTTTAATAAACTTCTATTTAACGCGATTAGAAAACGTTTAAAATATTTAAAATATGAGCTTATTATTCAATGAAAAAGAAGATGCGTCGACATAAAACCGTTTAATATATCGAAAAATAGTAGTATTAGTTTCGCAACTAGCTCTTAATGCGAACTAATTACTGCATCTGAGTTGTTTAACTGCCATTTTCAAGTGTATATTTTCAAGTGTAAACGGCAGCATTTAACGTACTTTAGGTAAAGATGGAATGCCAATAAAGCACCTAAAATTTACAGCAATCTGCATTTTGAAGTTTATGAACCTGTTACCATTTCTAGTATCGATCCCAAATTTTGACGCCTGCAATTGTATTAGTATTTGAATGATGCCTGCAATTGTATTAGTACAGTGTACAATCATAAAAGTGCAAATTACGACCCATTTTCCAACTTCAGACAACTTAGACAGTATTACTTCTTGGCATTCCAGCTGATGAGGTCAAGGCCTGTCTGAAATTCACTAATTTTTGGTCTAAATTGCGTGAATGAGTGCGTACTTAGAATAAGGATATATAGGCTGGTTATTTTTTTAAATTAACTTTTACTGAATGTTTGTTAATGTAAATATGATTAATGTTAAAGGCTAGTGTTATCCGAATATATCCGACTTAAAAAGATCTTTAGGAAATAAGTTTACCCCAAATTTAAGAATAAATGGGGAAAAGGCATGTCTTAGCTCAGCGAGAGAGCAATTCTAAAATCCCAAAACGATGCGGCAGCATCTGAAGTTGAACTGTTAACAGTTGAAGTTCAACTTGCTGTTGAAATAATTAACAATGTAAATCATTTGTCGTCGACTTCGAAAATGCAGCAAATTATTCTGTAGAATTTCTCTACACTCTTTATCCATCTGGTATGCCACCCTATAATTTGATTTTGATTCTTCTATCATTTTGTTACGAAATTTACATGCTCCGAAACTCCTCAACGGAATTAAACTTCAAATTAAGTTCTTAAAAAGATATATAATCGAAGCAGAGATATTTAGACTTCTGCTTACGGCAGGTATATCATGTGTACCACATGTGCTGATGCAACATGGTGAACAGTAAGTAAAGGGTTAACAGTTATGGCAAAGGTGAAACAGTCTATTTATTCCTAGGATTCCCTTTATTCCATCAGACTTGCCATTTTAGTTTAAGAGACTAAAGTTTGCTGCAAAGTCTATTTAGCCATAAGAATTAACAAGTCTCAAGAAACAGTTTCACAGGCAAGTTGGGATGGATTTGAGAAACGATTGTTTCTCTCACGGACTAAGTTGTATGTAGAAGAAAATCTGCTTACTGCACCAAAAAAAAAAAAAGACAAGAAATTTAAAAAATAGATGAGACTTCCCTCCTTTAAAAAATATAATCAATGCTTGATACGCTAAAAGAAAGTAAATAGTAATATTTACTGTCAACATATAAAAATCCGATATTTTTAATTAACAATAACACTATAATAAAATCAGTAATTGGTCTATTTAAACATTCATGATTTTTAATTAAAAAAATACCTTACTTCATTTAATCCTTAAATTTGTAATCTCGGATTTTTTGCATTTTATCATTCCGAACTTCCGAGTGGTTGAATATAATATGCACATTCACTCAAAATGAAAGCCAAATTCAGCAAGTGAGATATTTAATAATCTCAATGTTTATTTTCAAGAAAACCAAAATTACTGTGTACACACTGTCAATTCAAAACAAATCTTGGAAATCTAAAAGTTGCATTCTTTTATAATATTTTATATACACTATAGAATAGCCAAAAAAAAGTTATACGATGTTTGCTTCTAAAAATTATGTTTAGATTTCTCAAATATACGAGCGTATTTAGAATTTAAAACTGTTAAAACAATACACAACAAGACATCTACGAAAGCGAGATAAGCGTACTTCGATTGCAAGCAGAAGATCGAGGTTTAAAACTCGTCATCCTGGTTTAAACCTGCCTCAGACTAGGTTTAATTTAGACTAGGCTGAACTAGATCTTTAGAACAGGGTTTTTCCGTAAACTTCGTTTCTGCAATACAGCTTTGTTTAACTTCGCCGTTTAGACTAGGTTTAAAGTTAAACTTCGTTCTGACAATCCAGCCCCAGTATTTAGTCCCCAAGCTTCCTTGGTACTCATTTAATCCACCCACTGAAGAGATGAAAGGCTGCAAAAGATTTTTAATTGAGTCATAATCACTCGGTACGAATGGGAAAATTTAACACTTTCAAAAGCTTCTTATGATTTTCGATCAAAGCATCTGTATTTAAACAATTTACGATAAGTATTTCTCTGAAATGTACGCTTGTAATCTATACATAAGTACACCATTTCAATTTTCAGGAAGAAGACAGAAATGGTCAACGATTAAAAGTTTTCAGGTGGCCTAATGCTGTTATACCGTATTACATTCACACGGACATTAATGGTAACTATTAGTTTTTATTTAGTGTTATTTTTAATATTTTACTTTTGTTTTATATTAAAGTATCACGTTACATGAAAAATAACAGTTAACTTGGTTAAGACAACCAGCATTAATTAATACAGTAAAAAAATAATGTTCCTTAATTTTATTTGTTACTCAGGGTGGAAGGGAGATGGGAGGTATTTTTTTTACCACCGAAAATGTTACCCCCGAAAGACAACCTTTTTTGTAATTATATATGGAATTTTTTTACTAGCTATTAAACAAATTTAATTGTCGCTCTTGTTTCAAAATCGGAAATTTTAACTTGGATCTAAAGTTCTATGTAATGTTTGTATTTATAGGTGTTCACTTTCTTAAAGAATGATTACGCAAAGCCTGTATGTATCTTTAAAAAAGAATTAAGGGATTATGTAAAGTCCCTGAATTGAATAAATTTTGAACTAATGATCGGATTTTCACGAACTAAGACTCTATCTTAATGGTTCAAGAGGATGACCTCAAATATATTAATTCATAAGTGCAGATGTTATTTTAACTTAAGGAAATCAGACACAAAAACGTATTTTCACTGAATAAAAATACTTTTTTTTTTACGGTTCAGAATGTCCTTTTTGGTATTATCTGTTTCTACTTTTGACGTAGCCTGAAATGAAGGAATGTATTTTAATTTTGAAATGGTTTTGGAAATATTTTAATTACTAGGAGGCTTCGCCCCCTGCTCGCTGGCTCTCACCAACCCCCGGAACTGCTTTCGCAGTTCATTTCGGATTGCTTCGCAATCCATTGCTCGCTTTGCTCGCTCATTGGATACGTTCTTAACGTTTAGTTTTTGCATACTTTTTTGAATACTGAAGTTCCGAAAACTTTTCACTGTAGAAAATTCTAAACCTGTACATTTCAATATCAATTTGAAATTGCAAACAGTTCACATATTTTTCTTAATCACACTATTCAGTTGTTGAGAAAAGTAACTGTTGTAAGTTTTGTTTTAAAGTCTTTCCCACCAGAGAGCTAAAGCCATGTGTTGTAAAACAATATGAAATAGTAGTCTGCCACTGAACGCCGGATGTAAAGCATCGGCTTTGATGAAGATAATTTTGTATTTTTAATTCTCTGAAGGGCGCCACCTTAATAATATGGAATTTGTAAAATAAATGTATATATTTTTGATTGTTGATGAAGCCCATCATTTTGTGTTTTCATCAGTGTTCAGAAGCAGAACAACTATAAGTTTTTTATTTTATCACAAAAATATAAAATGTATAAAAAACAAAGAAAAGAGTAAGAAAATGAGTATAGTCATAGAAAAAGTTAAAATTATAATATAGTATTTGTCAGTTAAAATAAAACTTTTTGTTTAAGTCATTGCTAACAATTCAAATTTCTCCGAGGCAATTCTAAAGTATAAATTAAGGTAGTATTGTTAAGTTGAAACACAATATTTTTAGTTTTGATGTCAACAATACAATTCAATTTTTCACAAAAACGATTGTTTCCATTGTTAAGTTCAATGTCAACAATTCAAATTTTTCTGAGGCAACTCTTAACCTCTAAATATTATTTTTTTTATGTACACATTTCTAAATGTCAGTATTCAACCACAAAACAACTTAAAGTCCTCAAATTTAGCATGAAGTTGTAAAATGTAATGAAAGAGGGTCATAGCAATAATGAAAGTAGAAGTAAAGTTAGTACTGTAAAATTAAAACAATATTTTTAATCAATGAGCCAAGTTCTTCAAGAAGCAGTTGTAGAAGTAGGTTGTTTATTTAAAACTTTTTATAGAATTTCTTTAAGAACACAATTGTTAATTTGGGCATTTGGCGATACAACACTTTTAGAATTGAAGGATTTGTTACGTCAAGCGCTCAGGTATCATAATTTTGATCTAGTTGCGCTTCTATGTCATTTTGATTTATGTTGCTAAGTTAACTTTCAAAAAATTCTATGGCTGGCAACAGCATTTTTATTTTTTAAGTTGTTTATTTTTATTTCTTTTAGAATTCGTTATTTTTTTAGCGAAATGTTTTTTAACCTAACAGAATTCTTTGCCGACTGTTTTCTCTATGAATGAAGAAAATAAAGTAAATATTTAACTGTTGTGAAAAGAATCTTATTTAGTTGTACAAAGTACTTCAGCCAAAATTTGGGAGCCACGTAAGAGAATTATATATATTAGATCAGAAACACATCATTAAAAGGCAGAACGCTTTGGTGTTTTCAAAACAAAGCAAACGTTGCGACCGGCGGAAAAGAAATACAGCCAAAATTTGGGAGCCACGTAAGAGAAATTATATATAATAGATGTTTACAATAGTTAAATAATTCGGTTTAAATCCATCTCAGTACTACGCCGTATGAGGGGGTATACGGCACATAAGCACGGCCATATATATTCTTTGAAGTCGGTGCATCGTAGTAATTGCTTTAAAACTTATTTATGTATGTTAATTTCATTTTATTCAATTTTTATATCTTTATTGATGTCATTTCACTCTTACAGACGAAAAGCGAAGAAACATTTTTGCCGCTTTCGCTTATTATCATGAAAACACCTGTATAAAGTTTGTTCCGAGAACTACTGAAACGGATTACATTTGGATATATAACGGAACTGGGTAAATATATACTAAGGGGCTCAGCCCCCTGTTCACTTCTGTTCACCAACCCCAATGATTGTATCGTAGTAACTGTTATTTCTTGGCATAAAACAACTTTTTCTACGATAGTTGAAAATATTCACATATCTCTGGTTCAAAGTTAAAACGACACTTCTGAAAACATAATTAGTGTTGTTTGAATGAGAAGTGAGAGCAGAAGTGTCGTTTTAACCTTTTACCAGCGATATATACAGATGAAATGTTGCAGTTATGAAAATATATGTACTAAAAAGATTTCTACTGTCTTATGCTTTTCTGCTTTCACTTTCCAAATCCGTTCCCTTTATGATTCTATTCAGATCTATTAATGAACATAAATAAATTTTGTCGGTAATATTTAAAAAAATAAAAAACATTTAAAATTAAAGGTATAACGTTATAACAAATTTGGTAAATTCACAACCATAATTTCATATTTTCGTTTACAAAACAGGCTGATATATTTAATATAATTTATGTAAGCATGAGATTGAGCATGAAGCTGACCCTTAAGTTCTTATTCATTTAACGAATATATTTAATCACAATTAAACTAAATTCAGCGGCGCGAAAGCCCATAGAGGAACAGGGCCTACTATGCCCATCTCAATTGTCTTGACCTTGGGCTCTGGGGTGGAAGAGCAGATGTTCCGGTCAGGTGGTCAGCCGAACGCGGAACCCCCAGTGTTTAGTTCCCAAGCATGCTTGGTACTCATTTATCAACCCACTGAAGGGATGAAAGGCTGAGTCAACCTTGTCCTGCCCAAGGATCGAACCCAGGATCTGAGGCACAGAAGCGTGAAGCGCTACCACTCAGCCACCGGGCGTTTTTAATGACAACTATAAATAGTAAATTATTGTAATTTGCACCACAAATAATAATAATTACTAAACGATTATTAATATTAGTGCGCTAATTTAAATATGTTTATCTTAAAATGCAGCGTAATTAGGTAATATCTTAGAATAACGTTATAATAAAGAAAAAATCTTTTAGCTTTAAAATCTTAATCTAGGAAAAAATTAAAAACGTAAAAGTAATAATAGAAATGAATACTAATGAGGAAAAATAAATATTACAAGTACTTTTAAATAAGGGACACAAAAATAATCTTTAGGAAAGCAGCACTTTTATGACCTTTATTAATTTTATATTGCTGACAACAATAAATATGGAAATTAATGAGGGAAAACTGGATATTCCCATATGATAATAAAAATGCCCCAACGACAATGGAAAACTGTGTTAGATCATTATGTTTTGATGTTATATAGAGATATTTATCAGATTACTCTTCCCTTTTCACTTTTTATAAATTGTTTAAAAATATTTTCCTTGTCTTTGTGGAATGTTTCATTCTTTTTCGTCATGTATCTACAGCATGTAAAAAAAAGCCTTCTAACAAAGAATGCGAGCAAAGTTTGAAAAAATTCTTTGTATCTGTTTTAAGTTTTCGTATACCTCACATAAAATTATAGATAACATCGTGTTTAAAATGAACTTCTCAAAAGATTATTCTAAATGCATAACTCTAGAGCCACGGTTCCCGAATGGGGTTCCATGCAAAGATAACAAGGGTTCCAAAACTTAGGATTTTTTTAAAAGCAATAATAGTTTTGTGTTTTTAACCTATCAATAATCCATAAATTAATATTTCGGCTGTTTATATAAAATTTGTGTAAAATGTCAAGAATAAAAGAGGTGCAAAATTTAGAGAAAAAAAAATTCAATAACAATATATTGAATATTGCAATAAAAATGCAATGAAGACTTTCATGCAGCCCACAGAAATGCAACTACAGAGTTGAATTTGTTCAGAAATTATTACAATTATAAGTGACTTTTCGTGTTTCTTAATTCTCTCTTGTTCATTTGCTTACTTAACAACAATTACTGTTTGTCTATCGTTGTAGAAAAATGTATGTCTTCCTACATCATAACTGAATGTTCTTGCCTTGAGTATATATTTTAAATTGTTATAAGTCTTGTTAACGAGTAACATTATTTATCTTTTCTACTTCATACAAGCAACCTACTTGTATTCCTACGTTTAATTATTTATTTTATTTTTTCAAATACTGGTAATCGATCGTTAACTAACAATTCATATATAGAAATGTTTTTAATAATTTTTTGTTAACTTTAAATTTCATGACGGAAAATATTCTTTGTTTTTGTAAAAAATAGCGCTTTTTAATATGATGAATGACAAGCAACTCTAGTAGGTTGATGAGATAAGTGAATTTTTCAATTTTTTTTATGAGGGTTTGTTCTTTCTAATATATTCTTCATGATATAACTAAGGAAACAAAATAAATGTATTCAAAATAAATGAACAAATTAAATGTGATGTCTGCCTAATGTATCCATTTGGTTGATTTTATTAATTTAGTCTTTTTTTTTTAAACAATTTAAAAGTCTGCAGTTTTTATCAGGCTCCACGGGTACTATAAATTTATAACAGTAGTTATAAATTTAAGTTGTGGGAGTTTAGAGTTTTCAAATTCACTTCATCGTTTGAAAATAACGAATACGAAGGCATCGCCCAAAAAGTTACATCTGTAATATACCGCTTTGACCCAAAAATTCATGACTTTGGCCGCAATGAATTTTCCAAGTATTTATATAAATAATAGCAAGCACGCAAGTTAAATTTGGGTTGAGAACTGAAAATGCGCTTGCACTTGAATTGCATTTTCGTAAGAACGCATTTTAAGTTGCGTCCATTTCTACAAACACGCATTTCCAGCAATTTCGAGCCTATATATTTTTTCCCCCTTTTAAATTTAGATGTACCTCTTATATTGGAAAACAAGCAAGCAACTATCAACCTCAACCCGTAACACTTCAGGATGGATGCCACCGCCTTGGAGTGATTCTCCATGAACTTGGGCATGCAATTGGTTTCTTTCATGAACATGGAAGGCATGACAGAGATCAATATCTTGAAATCCACTTAGAGAATGTAGATGAAAGTAAGACTCCCTTCTGAATTACACCTAACATTTTTTTTTATCCATATATATATATNATATATATATATATATATATATATATATATATATATATATATATATATATATATATATATATATATATATATATATATATATATATATATATATATATATATATATATATATATATATATATATATATATATATATATATATATATATATATATATATATATATATATATATATATATATATATATATATATATATATATATATATATATATATATATATATATATATATATATATATATATATATATATATATATATATATATATATATATATATATATATATATATATATATATATATATATATATATATATATATATATATATATATATATATATATATATATATATATATATATATATATATATATATATATATATATATATATATATATATATATATATATATATATATATATATATATATATATATATATATATATATATATATATATATATATATATATATATATATATATATATATATATATATATATATATATATATATATATATATATATATATATATATATATATATATATATATATATATATATATATATATATATATATATATATATATATATATATATATATATATATATATATATATATATATATATATATATATATATATATATATATATATATATATATATATATATATATATATATATATATATATATATATATATATATATATATATATATATATATATATATATATATATATATATATATATATATATATATGTATATATAGGATCACCAAGAAGCCCACCTTTGTGAATCCTCTTTCTTTCTTTCTCTCTTTTTTGTTGTCGCGTGTGCGCACTTTGAGTCTACAGTATTCCCCGAATGTCCCCTGACATGGGCGGGACGTGGTTATACTTTGATATATAATATTCCAATCTCAACTCTTTATCTTTTAACTACAATTACTTATTGGTTATTACACTGAAGAGCCAAAAAAACTGGTACAGGCATGAGTATGCAAATAAAGGGGTATGGAGCCAATCGAAGTTCAGCGCTGCGATCGGCAACGCGTATATAAGACAACGAGTGTCTAGCACAGTTCTTAGATCGGTTACTGCTGCTACAATGCCATGTTGTACAGATTTAAGTGAGTTTGAACGTGGTGTTATAGTTGACGCACGGGACATGGGACATAGCATCTCCGAGATAGCAATGAAATTTGGATTTTCTGGTACGACCATTTCACGAGTATACCGTGAGTATCGGAAATCCGGTAAAACATCGAATGTACGACATCGCTGCGGTCGGAAAAAGATCATGCAAGAACGGGATCAACGACGATTGATGAGAATCATTAAACGTGACAGACGTGCAACCCTTCCACAAATTGCAGCAGATTTCAATGCTGGGCCATCAACAAGTGTCAGCGTGCGAACCATTCAACGAAACATCATTGATATGGGCTTTCGATACTTGCTTCCCTACACGATATTAGGCAGATATACCAGTTTTTTTGGCTCTTCAGTGTACAATTATTTCTCCCCAGATAAGACCGCGGGTACCCCCAGCCCCTTGATGAGAATCTACACTAGGCCCACGAAAGCTGCAGTGCAGCGAAGGATGAAGACAACATCTAAGGTTCAAAAAAAGTTTTACGGATCCCAGGACGAAATTCATTGTGGGCTCCTTCCTTATAAGCACAAAAAGCCCTATTTTCATATTTAGTAGAAGTTTTGGAGATACATCATTTTTTTTTCTTCTGCATTATAAGATTTTTGAACAAATCCCATATTTTCCCATGCTTCTGATTTCAAATCTTCAACCGGTTTCTATCTGAAAGTTACAGCTTTTATGCAATTTATGATCATGGTCATAACGAGGATTTTTCAAAAGTCACTCGAGTAAATACTAAGTGTCCCCATTTCTCTGTTACGTAGGGAGTGGTGGGAACAAGGAGATAAAACATTCCCGTTTATGATCCAATGCGTTAAGGACATATGTTTTTTTTCTTCTTTTTATTGCCTTAAGTATCAATTTTTAAGGAGCAGACAAGTGTATTAGCACATATATAAAGCTATACATTCTTTATAATTTTGCATATTCAAACAAAAAATAAATTGAACTAAATACGTCATTTATAAAAAACTACAGCTTTCGGAATTAAACCAATGTTAGATTTGCAATTCTGACATCCGAATTAGGTAAGATGAAGTGCATGTGTAAATGTGATCATAAATTTGTTTTCCGGTGTTATTTTTCATCTCAGATTAAAATAACAAGTCTGAAATATTACTAAGAAGAGAAAAAGAAAAATTATATACAACTTACTCAATTTACTTTTGCTTCAGGTCCTTAAGAAAATTAGTTTACCAATATGCAGACATATAAGCAAAAGAAAATTGATGACTTTCCAAAATTCCAAATAATGATCTCTATAGTTAATTGAAAAAAAAGATATATTTAAAAGATAAGAAAAGTTATAAAAAAATAAATTAAAAAAAAGCTCCTTAATTTCGGAAAGCTCTGAAAAAGAAAGATAAAATAATCATTTTGCAGGAGCACATTTAAGTAATATCTTTTCTTATGAGTTAACGATTGCGACTGTGTAATTTAATTTCGATCCCTTCAAAAACTAGGGCTCAGTAAGGTCCATTTGCGGAAACCATTTTAAAATGTAACTAATGGTGAAAAAACAATTTATGTTGAAAGTACAAAATGCTTGGATCAGATTTGGATTGCATAAAGTAGTTAAAATGTTTGGATTGTAAGCAATTTTGAAATGTCTTAATACGCCCCCTATAAGATAAATATTGTACAAAAAAAGAAATGAAAACCAGTCGTCAGCGATCGTTTTATCTTAGAGGAGAGAGTCGTCAAAGGGTTAAATTTCTCTGATTCAATTTCCTAATAACTTAGAAATGGAGAAGCCAACATTTCGACTAAAAAGTTTTTATCTGGATTGCAAATGACTGATTATTTATTTTATTTTATTTTATTTATTTATTTATTTATTAAATTAACTAATTAATTAATTAATTATTTAATTTAATTTAATTTAATTTAATTTAATTTAATTTAATTTAATTTAATTTAATTTTATTTAATATTATTTACTGATTTTGTTTATTTATTTATCTACAGAGGAAAAACACAACTTTCGAATAATACCATCAAGTGAGGCAATCAATTATACTAAGTTTGATTACCACTCAATCATGATTTATGACAGCAAAGCGTTTTCCAAAAATGGTAAGGATACCATGGTACCTAGACAAGAAGGGGTGACTCTTGTGGATGCCAACTATAAAACGAAGCTGACAAAATCTGACTTAAAAAGATTCAACAGAATGTATAAGTGCGAAGTTTAAATACTGTTAATTTTGCTATACTTCTTATAAAAGCAAAATAAAATCATATGAGAATATAACATTGTTATCTGTTTTTATATTGGATGTTTATAGTTGAATTCCAAATTGGGTGAAGCTTCAGAGCAGTGAAAAATATATAAAGGTTTATGGAAAACTATTTTCTGTGTTATACCGGTTCCGCTATCATTTCAAATTCAGTATCATACTAAATTCTTTGTATAACAAGCCGATAACTTCCTGTATTTAGTTAATAAATTTTAACTCCGTATTGGACAGATTCTCTTAACAGTGCAAAAAATATGCTGTCTTAAGAAACATAGTTTCCGCTATCATTTCGGATTCAGTATCATACTAAATTCTTTGTATAACAAGTCGGTAACTTCCTGTATTTAGTTAATAATTTTTAACTCCGTATTGGACAGATTCTCTTAACAGTGCAAGAAATATGCCGTCTTAAGAAACACAGTTTCCGGTATCATTTCGGATTCAGTGTGACACTAAAATCTTTTTACAAGTCGATATAATATTAGGTTCCCTATTTTACCAGAATCAGAGTTTCATGAGACAGAATCAAATTGATTCAATTATGACTCTGAATTCGTTACGTTTCCGGTTCTACAATAGTAAGATATTGGTTCTGGTGCATTACCAGTATTAAACTGTACGGCACTTTTATTTACATTGCACTAGAGCTGCACAATGGGCTATTGGTGACGACGGTCTGGGAAACATCCCTGAGGATGATCCGGAGACAACATACATACGCCACATCCCGTGCTGCAGTGAGGACACATTCACACATCATCCATCCATAAATCGTAATTTTGACTTGAATCTGAACGCGATCAATCTCCGATACAGTATCCCAGAGGTTTTAATTTGTTATGGGAACTTCGAGGACTTTCTGACCCCGACAGATTTAGCGTGCAACAGCCACCATTTTGGACATGGGGTTTCTTTGGCGTTGCGGGGATCGAACTGATGACCTCTTGGACATGGGCCCAATTCCCTGTCTGCCATGCTATCCCGGACCCATTATCAGTTCTAATATTATACAGGAATATACATCAGAGTTGTTTGATAAAGAGTTACGACAGACGGGTAACATTCTCTGAAACAGGTAATTTTTCATATTCAGGTAAAATTCTCTGAACATTCTCCGGTTGAAAGCCAAATATTACCGAAAGAAAACGAAACGAACATTTTTCGTAGACTGAACTATATCTGTATTATTTTATACAGATATAAACAAGTTTTCTTAATGTGAACTTATTTTTATGTTAGAAAGCAGTTCTATCATATTTTGTTTAATTAACTTATGCATTTTCAATACAAAGTACCGTTTGTTATTTTAAGTTTAAATTAAAAATTAACTGGATTGTACTTTTTTCAATCTAAATTAATATTTATCAGTTTGAAACAAAAGAGAAAATGCGTGTGGTCAGAAAAATGAAACTGTTTTCAAGAAAATTATTCCAATCAGGTGACAGTGCAATCTGCAACCCTTTAATCAGTTACAGTTTGTTTTGTTTACAATATTTCGCGTGTCATGATAGCAGGTAATTTTGATTTGCACATACTGCAATATAAACTGATAGCTTTGAAAAAAATTAGAAAATGGTAGAAGTAATAACAGTACAACTTAATTTAGGCCGCACAAAGATGATCCGAAGACATACCTTCACAATGTTTATCCTCAGAAAAGTAGATGGTTCCCCTGTTTTATTAGCCCGACGGTCGTGTGATGTCGAGCAGTTTACTGCAGTACAGTGTAACGAGGACCAATACCACGCAACCTCGCTCTTTTCTGAGTCCCGCAGTGGACTGATCGTTAAGACACGGTTCCCAGCAGATCACTGAAGTCAAGCATCACTGGCTGCGGTCAGTGTGTGGGTGGGCGACCACTTGGATCAGTCTGCGTAGGGACCGAGGGTATGCGGTATGGGTCCTCGCTGAACTGTTCTACCCGTAAAGTGCTCGGCTTTGCGTGCAGGTCATCGGGCTACTGAAGCGGGGGTGCCATCCCCTCTGCAGAGGATCAAAATCGCGATGGCATGTCTTCGGATCATCCTCAGGGATATTTCCCAGACCGTCGCCAATAGCCCATTGTGCAGCTCTAGTGCGACGTAAATAAACAACAACAACAACGCTCTTTTCTGATGATCAAATCATAATCCATCCACTCACTGACCACAGCAAGTAATGCTGTACGACGCATCCTCAGCGATACATAAATAAAATATAGAAAAAAAATTGAGGTTCGTCTGTTAGCACTAGATTTGAGTAACCCATCAATTTGACGGGTTTTCGACTTCATACCTTGAAATTTCGAACATGTAAATATTATTTTTAAGATACTATATATTGGTTCTCAATACTATAATGCATCGAATATATATTTCCATTCGTTTCCACCGAAAGACTTACACTTTAGTATTTCTATATGTTATATAACTATTTTTACGATAACCCGTCAATTTGACAAATTGCTTAATTTACGATCAATTGTTGCAAACCTTGCGAAATAACTAAAATGAAAGTATGAAACAAATTTAAAAAAACATATAAATAAAAATAAATGAAAGAATACAAGTACAGCAAATTTTGTCATAGCAAAAATAATCATTTCAACGGTGCATTTTACAGAGACAACTTGTGATTTTTGTAAATTTAGTTAGGCTGATCTACATATTTCAAAATAAAATTAGATCAATGTGCAACAGTGCATTTTGCAAAAAGAAGTGAAATTGTGAAGTTCAGTGAAAATTCATTTTATAAGTAAAGATTTAATTTTTTTCAAGGTTTGTTACAAACTTATCTAAAAAGAAATACTTTTTTTACATTTATATTTTGTCTACGTAGCAAGGGCTAATATGGACAAATGTTCAAAATACATGGAATTTATAAAAAAAACTAACCAGCATAAATGAAGACCAGTCTGGATCTGATTCTGACATAAACGAATTATGCAATAGCGAGGAAGAATTCGACGAAGTAATTACCGAAATTGAAGATTCTGAGGACAGTGGAAATGAAAATCTTCGCAATACGCGCTATAAAAGAAAAAGAATGCGTATCATTTCAGACTCCGAGAGCGAAAATGAGATGGAAGTTGTTGATACCTGTAATTTAGAAAATTCGATCGAACGTTCTGCGGATGGAACTTTATGGGAAACACTAAAAGAAGGTGGAGGTTGTGGTAGAAAACCAGCTTATAGTATGTTCAAGGATGTTGTTGTTCATTTACGTCGCACTAGAGCTGCACAATGGGCTATTGGCGACGGTCTGGGAAACATCCCTGAGGATGATCCGAAGCCATGACATCGCAATTTTGATCCTCTACAGAGGGGATGGCACCCCCGCTTCTGTAGCCCGACGACCTGCACGCGAAGTCGAGCACCTTACGGTGGAACAGTTTAACGATGACCCATATCGCACACCCTCGCTGATCCAAGTGGTCACCTACCCGCACACTGACCGTAGCCAGTGATGCTTGACTTCGGTGATCTGCTGGGAACCGTGTCTTAACGATCAGTCCACTGCGGGACATGTTCAAGGATGTGTCAGGACCAACAGCGTACGCAAAAAAAAAAATATTATGCTTGGAATGTAAGGAGCGCATTTGAACTGATAATTGACAACGGCATGATTGAGTACATCAAAATATGTACTGAAACAGAGGCTCGTAAGGTTTTGAAAAAAGATGATTGGTCAATTACAGAGGTACAACTACGAGCTTTTATATCGATTTTGTATGCCCGAGGGGCGTATGAAGCAAAATCCCTGAAAGCTTCATATTTATGGTCTAAGAAATGGGGGCCAAGCTTCTTTTCAAAAACCATGTCCAGAGATAAGTTTATGGAAATTCTTCGATTCATACTTTTTGACAAGAAAAACCAAAGAAGTCAAAGATTGAAAACGGATAAATTTGCGTTGATTTCTATAATATGGGACAAATTTATCCATAATAGCCAGGCTTGCTATAAGCCTGGAGAGAACGTTACAGTTGACGAGCAATTGTTTCCAAGCAAAACTAGATGCCGTTTTACGTTGTTAATTTACGTCGCACTAGAGCTGCACAATGGGCTATTGGCGACGATCTGGGAAGCATCCCGGAGGATGATCCGAAGACATGCCATCACAATTTTGATCCTCTGCGGAGGGGATGGCACCGTTTCAGTAGCCCGACGACCTGCGTGCGAAGTCGAGCACTTTACGGTAGCACAGTTTAACGAGGACCAATACTGCACACCCTCGGTCCCTACGCAGACTGATCCAAGTGGTCACCCACCCGCAGCCAGAGATGCTTGACTTCGGTGATCTGCTGGGAACCGTGTCTTAACGATCAGTCCACTGCGGGACATGCCATTTTACGCAGTTCATGCCAAATAAACCTGATAAATTTGGCATAAAGTTTTGGTTGGCATCGGATGTAAAAAGCAAGTATCTAATAAATGACTTCCCATATTTAGGGAAAGACGAAAAACGACCATCAGACATACCTTTAGACGAATTCGTTGTGCTCAAGCTCACTGAACCATATTTAGGCCATGGCCGAAATATAACTACTGATAACTTTTTTACGAGTATTTCACTTGCAAAAAAGTTACTTTAAAAAAAAAACAACTCTTGTAGGGACTTTACGAGCAAACAGAAAAAAATTGCCAAAATTTGCAAAGGCTAAGAAGGATAACACGATCCGATATTCTACAAAACTTTATAAATCAGATGAGTACGTTCTTACAGTTTACAAGTCCAAGCCAAACAAAAAGGTATTATTGCTTAGTTCGAAACACAAAAATGTCAAAATAGAAAATGTGTCTAAACGTGTCACAGAAACAGTTGCATATTACAACAAAACAAAGTTTGGGGTGAATATCGTAGACCAAATGGCTAGAAAATATAGCGTGAAAGCAGGATCCCGTAGATGGCCGCTTCACGTGTTTTATAACATTTTAGATTTGGCAGCCATCAATGCCTGGATATTGTACAAGGAGACCACTGGAGTAAAAATAACTCGCAAGAATTTTATTTTCCAATTGGCTGATGAACTAGGCAGTGACCATCGCGATGAACAAAATACAAGTTTTAATTCATTATCTGATTCACAAAATCCAAATGTGCGAAAATCTTGTCAAATTGGGTTATGTAAAAAAAATAGGTCTAATAACATTTGCATTAAATGTAACAAGTATGTATGTGGAAAGTGTGCATCCAAAATAGAGTTTACATGTAAAAAATGTATTGAAAACAACTGTGAATAAAAAAACCATTAATTTAAAAATAAAAGTTTTACAAAAATGAGTATTTTAATTTACCCGTCAAAAAGACGGATTTCAGTAAAAATAGGTACGCGGCCGATACCCGTAAATCTAGTGTTAATGTCGTACTTGAGTAACACTCATGGGATACTAGCGACGGTCCACAATTCATCCTTAATTATATCCTGAAGATAATACTCGCGCTCTACAAATAATAATTTAGATCTATCTAAGTAGTAAGATAGATCTAAATAGCAATCTAGATTGGAGAGCACAAGGTGGTATTAACCACCTGGTCTCCACACCCCGCTCCCCAACTGCTCAAGCAATGCGTGTGCTTTCCGCCTCTGAAATCACTGGGGATATTAAAGTGTATTCCGTATCAAATACAATATCGGATAATGTGCAGCACGATGAGGCGGAACACCAACGAGGAATCGAACCTTGATCCAAGTCGTGATAGTTGAAATCTAAACCCACCACACCAACTAGACAGCACTGTTTTATTAAGAAATTATCATTTTCACAATGAAAGAAAAAAAGCTTAACTCTTAGTTATTATTGAGTTCACTTCAAATATTTAATTTTATAAAGAGTCTAAAAATATCAAATTTTCCTTTTAAAATATGTAACTTAAATTTTTGTGACAAAAACCTTCATAAAATTTAAATAAAAAGAAACAATCCTTCACATAACTATAGTTTATTATTTCTATATGTTCACAGATATGAATTACAATTATATGGAAGAAATGGCCTGCATTTCATATACATCTTAATATACAGAGACCAATAAAAAAATCAATTTTTTAACAATAACACAACCGGGATTTGAAGGGGAAAAAATGTTAAAACAAGATACATGAAATGATACATAAAATATTGTTAACCATATAAAATGTAATACTTGTAAGTTTCAGAATACTTGTAGGTTTAAGAATAACAAATAAAAAATAGTCATCTTTCATGATTGATTACTGTAACTCCAGATATAAAGGAATTTGTATATTTTTAAATCTTAGTAGATTGTAAGTTGTGAGTAAAAGATAATTGGTGCAAAGGATACTGTTTGAGTGCGTGTAAAACAGCGGTGCCCAAATGGTGTTCCGAGAATTATGACATTTTTTAAAAACATTTTTGAATTCAGTAATTATATTTATATCTAATCAATAATCTATTATTTACTTATATTCGATATTTTGATTGCCTTTATGAAATTATATTTAAAATAAAATGACAAAGAGAGAAGATTATATATATATATATATACAACGGCATGATTGAGTACATCA